TGTATGTGGCTGGCACCTTAGCCACTTGAGCCACAGGCGCCGAGCCCCTGCCTCCTTCCTATTAAGAGTTCTAGTTGGCTGGACTGATGGGTGAGGGAGAGTCCTTTTCTCATTTTTCACTCCTAGGAAGTCACTTGGGAAGGCAGGAGGGCAGTCACTAGAGCCCTTGAGACCTGGGAGACAGTAGGTTTGAGGAGCTACTAATTTGAAATTTTTCCATTTCACCACTATCCCTCCCCTTCTTGATATGACTTAACTTCAGGCCTGAGAGCCAAAGAGCTGGCCTAGCCCTTACTTCACAGATGGAAGAGGAGAAATTGGAGAAGGAAGAAAAAAATTAGAATTAGGGCTGGGCACAGTGGCTCACACCTATAATCCTAGCACTCTGGGAGGCTGAGGGGGGAGTATCCCTTGTGGTCAGGAATTTGAGACCAGCCTGAGCAAGAGTGAGACCCCCATGTCTACTAAAAATAGAAAAATTTGCGTGGTGTGTTGGTGGGCACCTGTAATCCCAGCTACTCGGGGAGGCTGATGCAGGAGGATTGCTGGAATCCAGGAGTTTGAGCTTGTTGTGAGCTAGGCTGATGCTACAGCACTTTAGCCCAGGTGACAGAGTTAGACTGTCTCAAAAAAAAAAAAAAAAAAGTCAGAATCAAGATCAGAGTCCTAGCTAAGAGTCAGCCAGGGGTCTAGACAGACTGGGCACTGAGATGCACATGTCTTCTTTTGTTCTGGATCTTAAACTAGAGGAGAAACAGAGCAAGACTCTCCACCACAGGGGAGAGCAAGTGGAGGCAAACATGGTAGTATGGAGAAGAAAGTAACAAGTGGCATTTCCAAGTCCTCACTCTGTCCCTGCCAGGCACCATCCCAGGCAATGCAAATGGCATCAGACTGAAGGCTTCACACATCCTCCCCTTGAGCCACATCTGCTACTCCAGCACCTTCAGGGTTGCCACATCTCACTGCCTCTGCACACCCGCACTCCTGGAAATCTCCCCACTATCCCTTCTTCCCTGGCTCCTGCACAGGAAGGGCGCCCTCTGAGTGCCCATCCATCTCCAGAATCTCTTCTCTCTACAGTCTCTCTCCATAGCCAGGGATCGTGTGGGAGGACTGAGAGGCCGTGCACGGCTAGGGACTTTATCAGCTCACGGTGCGGGGGAAAGTCCCTGGCACTGAGAGGGCAGGTAGACACTGTTATCACCACCATCCCCATCCTGCACTGCCAGAATGCTGAGGAGGGACCCAGAGCAAAGTCTAGGACCCAGAGCAAGGCTGGCATGAGCCAGGGAGAAAGCAGATCACGTGCTGGTTCCAAAGTTTGATCTGGGCTGTCTCAGGGAGCGCCAGGGCGGTAAGGACAGGATTCCTGAAGATCAGGCCCGCACCTGCGGGGGTATTGGGGCGGGGAGGAGCCGGGGCTGCACGGTGCCAGATTCCAGCGTTTACAGAGCCCAGAGAGGGGTTTGCCAAGTCGTACCAGGATTTATTAGGAGTGAGGGTCCTGGGCTACATTCCGGGAAGGGAAGAGGGGCAGGAAAGGAATTAGGGCAAAGCACTGCCCGGGTGTCCGGGTCTAGACGTGTCTGAGGAGCTCGGGGTTCGCAGAGCTGCGAGGTGTCAGGGATCGTGTGGGAGGACTGAGAGGCCGTGCACGGCTAGAGACTTTATCAGCTCACGGTGCAGGGGCAGGTGAGGGGCGACTCTTACCTCTGCAGTGGCTGCCGCCCAGCCCGAGCCCCAGGCCGCCTAGGATGCTCTCAGACTGGCCTTCGCTGTACACGAAGGCAGTGTCGATCTCCGCGTGGCCGCGCTCCAGGAAGGCGCGCACGGACGCGGCACTAGCAAGCGGGTCCATGCGGCGCCCCATCTCCATGGCGCCCAGCACCGTGACGGGCCGGACCTGCGACATGATGGCGGTGGCCGGGGTTTGTCCAGGAGTCGTGCAGCAACCAGGAACCACCATGCCAATTTAAGGAAGGGCACCGGGGGGCGGGGCGAGCCTAAGGGGCTACAGAACCCGAGCCGCACCCCTTCCCGGTGACTCTGCCGAGCTTGGCCCTCCCCACCGTGACTCAGCAGAGCTTAGGGACCGTCTGCACTTCGACCGAGTGAGGGGCGGGATGGCTGTGGCTTGGGCGCAGGTGCCCCAGGCTGAGCCTGATCCAAGGGCTGCGTGCGAACTCCACAGGCTTCCCTGCCACGTCGCCCCACCTCTGTCGGCATCGCCCCGCAGCGGTCCTGGCGTGTTCATTGTCGGCTTCAGCTGGGAGCTTAGCGGGTGGATGACCCAAGGTCTGTCTCGTTCACCGTGGGTCCTAGACGCAAAATTTGCTCAAAGCTCCGGAGTCCTCCTCCTGTGGAGGGAGATAGATGCTTAAAATGTTTACAGAAGAGAAACTGTCAGCTTTGAACTGCCAGCTTTTTCACCTAAGTGAAAAAAACCTTTT